CGTCCGAGAAAACCATCAGTCAGTGGGACAATAACTGAGAAGCATGGACAGTTGATCCATTCTCAGCCTCGTCGACTACCCCGTTGGTTAGGTCTGATGCGACGATGCTGCTTCCCGAATCACGTGAGCTGATGTCGGATGTTGATATCACACCTCACACGTTGAAGAAGATGCAATATGAGCTCGCCCTCTTGAAACGGAACGAGGTTCCTGTTCCGGACGATCTTCCATCTTTGCTGAAAGATGGAGATGACTCTCTATTGACTGGATTTGCTTCTCTATTTAACATGATTTAGAATACGGAGTAGGTGCCTTCGGACCGGCGACTGTCAACTGTCGTGCCCATCTTCAAGTAGTTTCAGCGTATTTTCTGCGAAAATTATCCAACCACTAGCCTTATTTCCATCGCCTCTGAACTTCCCATGGGTACCATTTTTCGACGACTTGTCCACGTGAGAGACGACTCAGACAAACTGGCTTTCTACCTGGTCCTGTTTGCATGGCTTACATGTTTACTCTTCGCCAAGTGTTAGAGTAGAGACGCACTTACAGAGGACTGACTATAGTGGTTTTCCTTGACTTGAATGCCGCCTTCGACTCTGTTGACTGCGTCAGCTTGTGGCACTGCCTATACATGAGGGGCGTGCCAGCCACACTCATTTCCATTCTTAATTCTACCGTGATTTCCTATGCTGTGTAAGCATCTAGGTGAAACTGTTTCCTGAGTTCCCCACGATAAGTGGGGTTCTCTGGTGTTATCCTTTCCTCTTCAACTTTGTGAACGAAATGACCATGAATAATTCGGTTCTTTCGGACTACCGGAGTGGAAATTCTGCCAGGTGACCGACTAACAAACCTGGAGTATGCGGACGACAAAGCGGTCCTGGGGTGGCGCTGTGGCTATGTAAACGCTACTGTTTTGACGGGTGCATATCGCTGCACGCTTCGGCATGTGGTTTGCATCTTCAAAGTTCATGGCATTATTACAGGACTGGCCCGATACGCCACAGGTTCCAGCTATCACCAAAGGGCCACTTGAGATGGTGGATCAGTTCATTTACCTTGGTAGCTGTGTCACCTCTGATAGTCATATTACTGAGGTAATTACTTCGCATATCAGTAATGCCCGTGTGACTTCAGAGACTCAACTATGCTATGACGTTCCTGCTGTTTCTTTGTCCCTCCTCATCCCTTTTAGCCTCCCCTCCAACCACGATCTCATTTCGTAGCGTAAAACGATAATTCTTTTTTGCCTAGTAGCCGACTGATAGCTTACCGGAACGATGCCTATCCGTTACTGGTAGCTCAGCTGGCATGCAACTGTTGTATTTATTTTCCTTTTCCTTTGTGTATTGCGGCACAGTAGCTGAGGTATTTCCCACCTCTAGCTGACGTGTATACTGATGATGATGTACTTCACATGGACTTGCCGGCATCAGTGAAGCTTGTTGAGGCTGTGCATTATTGGACAGCTTTGCTTCCTAGATCTTTTGCCAAGCAACACCACGCTACAGCCGGTCATGGGTATCATACTAGCTCTGAGCAAGATACGTTTCAGAAAGTCGGTTTGTTATCTATCAGGAACATCGACAGCATTTGTGTATCACTACCTGACATTTCAGTGGTCTCAGCGGCTATTTTGCGTATTAGCTTACTCGCACTCAGTAAATGCGGGGCAGAGTTGTTCAGTGGTGCTTCCATCATGTAATCTAAAGTAACTAGATGGTCTTCAAGATGTCCAATGTAGACCGGTGTTTGTGTCATTTCAAATCATTTCAATATTGCTACTCAAGTGAACTAACCTTATCATTTATTTGTGCAAGAAGACCGGCACGTGTAGATACCTTGTTTTTTATCCCCTTTTATGATTTACTTCTTAATTGTATTATTCGCTTATTGGAGGATACAGGGCCTTTTGCTTGTCATACTTGGTACTTACGAAAAGTGTTCTCATAAGTTTGTGGTTGACAAGTAGTAGCTTGTGAAGGTGCGCACTGTCTAGGTTGGAATCGGATATATGACTGGAAGTTGCGGAATTAATGGAAGAAGCGAACAAAAGCCGTAACCCCTAGAGGGATTTGTGGTGCACATAATTAGAGCTTACCACTTTGAGTACCCGTCACTAGTCGTGTGTTCAGGTCACGTCCTGTTTTCACGCCACGCAGTCCTATATGGACAGTGAGATTAATATCTGAGACAGGAATCTAACAGATTGTATCCTTATCCTGACACTTTCGAATTCGCCCCTTTCGAGTTCCGCGCCGATAGTAAAATTGTAATTCTCGACAGTGGGTGCCGTTCGGCTGGTCAGTTGCGCCCGCGACAATTCAAATTCATTTGTCGGCCGGAGGTGAAACAATGTGAGCTATGATTGGTTACCGGTCTGATGATAACAACGCTCTGGACAAGGCGGCAGCACGGTTTAGGGACACATGCCTGGACGCATGCATCAGAACAATCGATCAACATAAGCGAACGTTGAATTCGCAATAGCTCAATGAGTGTGATGCCAGTGATGGCAGAATGAGATATCGAAACCTCACACAATGTCACATCGTTCGAGACTAGAGTTGGTTGGAGATCGCTGAAAGCGTACCATCAAGCGAGGTTAAAAAGCCTGGTGTACATGCAAACAATGTGGTTTGCGTGGGTTTCGGCAATGCTTTTATCAAAAATGCGGAGCGAGGTAAACAGTAGTGGAAGGGAAATGAACCTGTAATTCCAGAGGCATTGGACACATCCTGTAAACTCAAGTCAAAGGAGTTCAGGCGCAGCATTGTATGCCGGGACGGTGATAACTAAATAACCGAAAAGTCAGAATGCCAAAATTGTGCCGTGATTGCATGCATCCAAGTAACATACAGTAACTACAACCCATTGTCAAGCACCGAGACTGTGTCTGGAATACGGACCCATCCGCTGCAGATGCATTGTGACCCTGTTAGTGTGCTTTCTTGTTTCTCTGAGACACTGGAAACGAACGTCCTTCTGGAATTAAATCACTATATAGTGCGTAAGTTGAAAAGTTCGTTGTGTACTGGAATGTTGTTTGAAAGACGAATTACTTTGCTTGTTTGTGTTATCGAAGAGCTCACACTTTACCGATTGGTTGTTATTCGTTGGAACAGAGCATCTGCATAGGTTATAAATAGTATATATATATACATATATATATATATATATATATATATATATATATATATATATATACTATGGATCTGAGGTCTAGCGAAAAGACGTCATCACCTCGCAGGCTAGCCACTGTCAGTAACATTGGAAGATAGGTGATGCTATATACCAGTTAGATTGCAAATTATATAGCTCAGCCAACCTCCCCTATGTCTCAGTGGCTTAAGCTGGCTAGTTAGCATCCATTTCTGGCCGTCGTGGGTTCGATCCCAAGTAGGGAACCGAGGGAATGCGCACCACTGACGAGCACCAATAGGGCGAAACGTGTCTGGTGCTTTTCTGGGCTAGGCTGTGAAGTACTGGGATGAAACCTCAACCAAATTACGACTAAAGTCCCGCTACTCACGAATAATATAAACAAAGATAAAGGGCAGTACCCTGGTGAGTAGGTTCTGCAGTCAAACGATGTCCCGCTGCAGGCGGTTTGTTCCAACTTTCTCTTTATCTTTTAATCCAAAGGTTTAAGTCTCGACACAATGGTGTAACTGAAGATTTTCTTGGAGGCCACGTATGTTATCCCTTACTCGGTGTTAGTAACCACGGCGCACTGGTGGTTAAGTTCAGGTCAGACCTATAACAGCTGTCTCCCAGTGGTCTGTCTATTCCCGATCACTAATAGCTGTAATAAGCTTTAAACGATCTGTCTAAACTTGTCGTGTTTTTGGTGATACACCTTCGGCTACAGCCGAACGCAACCGAGTTCTGACTAGTTTGTGCTTTACCGTCCAGAGCCTGGCAGTAGTAAGCCAATGAGCTATCCGACAATCCGAAAACAACACCCCGTTTCATTCTAAACCAATGGAACTGGACCTTTGATTCGTGATCATTTTACTCTTGCGACTGAATTTCAAATGCAGAGTACCGTTACTATTTCCTCAATCTTCCCTTTAGGATGCATATTGAAACCTAATTTGTCTGCGCTCCAACCGTTAACCTGTCTGGCTTGAATGGATCAAAATGAATTTCAAATGCAGAGTACCGTTACTCTTTCCCCAATCTCCCCTTTAGGATGCATATTGAAACCTAATTCGTCTGCGCTCCAACTGTTAACCTGTCTGGCTTGAATGGATCAAAATGCCCCTAGAAAATGTCACCCACCTAGCCAAAAAATCATGTGGGCACTCAAACCATCCCGGTAACATGCGATCTAGTCTCATCACTTGGGTACTCAGTATCGCTTCATTATTGTCGACAACAATGATCACTATTGATCCACCGTTGATTACACCAACGGGATCTTCCCACTCACCATTCTGCACAACGATGCCACATAACTACCACTATGCACCTACCGTACTCATTCCATCCTTTATATTCATAATGTACTATCATTGACTATAAATCTTTCACCTTTTCTTTATGCACACTGCCTTGTCTATTGTTATTTCATACGCATTTTGCGCGTCGTTTTGGTTCCATTTGCGTTAACACTTTTTTCTTTGACTCTTTTCCATCTCTCCGGTTGGTTTTTGTTTATATTGTGCGTGATGTTACTGCCCGAATTCACCGTGTGAATGCATTGCGACCTCCACAATCTTTTTCGTGCCATACTACTAGTTTGTGCGGTCTTTCCGTTCCTTCTATTAATTCCGCTAAATTTTCGTTGATGTTTTTCGGTCCAGTTTAACTTACTTTGAGAATAATTGACTATTGCGTTTAGCCCTAATTACAGATCGTTAGCCAAAGCAGTGTTCACCTTCCATGCGAAGGCACTAGATTTAATTTGACCCAGTGTATTCTAACACCCAATCCTTTGGATGTCATTCAGTGGTTAGAAGTGAACCTCATCGGCATTACTTTGTGTTCCACAGCCTGTACTCCACACTGAACTGGTATCTGCGAGCCCGGCGCAAAACTCAACGAAACTGTCAATTGAACTGGGTTTGTCTACTAACGACGTCAACAATGAACCAACGGAGATCACTCACACAGTAGGACTCGGAGATACTGCTTCTATTCGCTTGAATCCTGAGATCAGTGGTATTCCTTCAGAAACAGCCACTTTCACTTTGCACGCAACCTCCGGTACTGTCACTTCTCTAGTTGAGTCTGCTCTAGACTCGTACCGTACTCCTGCCGACGGAGAGTTCGATGGCGATTCCGGTCGATGTTTGCCTCGGTTGGAACCGCAAACACGCATGGCCCAAAGCGAATACCAACAAATGCGGACCAGTATGTTTCCGAATTTTTCGTTTTTCTGCTATTCGGCTCTTCGGTTCAACTGTTATGCTTATCCGCGTCCCCCTTGTTGTGACTGCCGTTTTCAGATGGTTCTGCTTCTCTCACACGTTTCGACTGTAATCTTGCTGCCTCCTCTCACTCCTTTGCGAGCCTCTATCTTTTTCCTACTGTATTGTAGCATTAACCCTTGATACGGCACTGTGGACTGTTTTCTTTTGGCTCACTATCTTTATGCTACTTGTAAATAAAAAAGGATAGTTTCCTATAGGTTGCAATTCCAGTTCCAGTGTATGCGCGTCGTCGCATTAACAATGAATTTATTGGACCTTATGCAACCTGTCACTAGCTCTTGTTGATCTTGCAGTCGTGTGGTATTTTTATCGGAAATTATGTGCAAGCTCTTCTTTTTTAGCGCCTTTGGAGCGAACATATTTGAGCAATCTCCCCTTGGATTTTACATGCGCTTGCAATATCATACGGAGTTTCAATTCACAACCTCAATTTACCGATTTTTTCCGTCACTGTGGCTGCGGTTAGACAACAAACACTTGCGTTTACAAAGTGATCCTTGGCGATTTGCACCTCACCACCCACAGCTTCATCCATATTTCCTGTATCCGGTGTAAACTCAAGAGAATAACGCTTAGTCATACATAAAGATACCGAGTCTGATTCTTAGCTGACTCAAACTCCCCAGTGGTGTACCTTTGGGAAACCGCGCCGCAGTGATTGCGCTGTGCCTGAACTGGGGCTAACACAGTCACGAAAATTTTGTGCTCCATGTTCCCTTAACCGTGACTGACCTCCTTGGTCTAGTTGTATGAGTAGCTACGTCGGGTGAATAGGTATCATTTCTACATGCTCATCGATAGCAGTATGATCAGGCGTATTTAGGTACAAATTGATGCCAAGCATGCGGACACCACGCGCCCACTGGTGCACGTGTGTCCAAACCGTGATGGGCGGATGCATCACATTTGCCACACTGCTCGAGATATCGGTTATTAACATATTCGTTCTCAGTCACCGTATTCCACATATATATTAGAGTATCCATAGTGATCTTACACTTACTTGCGCCCCATGGTGCTATCTTCATAATAGCTCATTCCAGATACTTCGAGTAACACGTTATTCTCAGCCTGTTCTAGTCGCATTTGCCCGCTATTCTGCGTATCTCTGTTTGGATCCGAAGTCTACGCTTCCGCTTACTTACTGACAATCTTGTTTTACTTACGCCATTGTTCAAATGATTTTACCCACCACCTTTTTCAGTTCTCATTGAATTCACTTTCCTAATCACGAGACTTTTACACTTTCCGTCCATTTGCCCTGCGTCGAGACGCATATTTCTTTTTCTGCTTTTCGCTTAGCTTGATGCAGCCGTGTTACGTTGTATCAGTTCTCGTACATACACTATCTTTTGCGGTATTCTTAAGATTCATTCGAATCACCAATCGCCACGCGTTTGATTCTGAATTCTATTCCATTTGAGCACTTCGCATCACCTGTACCTCACCGTCGGATGTATTCATTAGTGCGGTGATGGCGACTTTACGACCTCGATGAGGACGCCACTTATGCTGCGACTCAGTCATCCAGTGATACACGGACACTCATGTGTTGCACCTTAATGTGGTCTCCTGCATATCACACCATCCTTGCTTTTCGATCATCATAAAACTTGATAGTTAGAGGGCGATCGTCTCCAAAATCACATCGCTCGATGCAACTCTGTGCTTACCTCCAGTCATGGTATGGATTTTCAACAGCTCTTTGGGATACCTTGACATATCATGTCAGAGAAAAAGGTATCTCAAACTTAGCGAATACTTTATCCCAAGGTCCTGCTATCTTGTGTCTGCCATATCTGTCGGTGCTGCATCTTAGTATTGTCGTTCGTGGCGGAGTAGACCACCTGTTACTGCCTATGTATCGGTACTCTGTGAATCTGGGCCCATGGTTTTACAGACGTGCGATTATCTCATTTGGGTCACTGTTTCCAACGTTTAGTGATAACTACGCGGGTTAGCCGCCACGTCACCAGCTGCTCATTTCACAGCTAGTGCTCTTCCACTGTTCGAACTGTGTATCTACACTTACATACCCAACACGCATCGGCTTTGCAATTTGTTTGCAAAGCATCTACGAGGGTTTACATAGTAACTAAAAGACAATTTACTTTGACTTATTGGTGCCTCTTTCTCGGGTACAGCAGCAGGTACGTTGTATTCTTCACAAGTTATGGAGTAGAATTTCCCCGTAATGCCTTGCATTTGGTTTAATATCTCACTTATCGATTTTGTTTGGCTCGTTATTTGCCTCATTATCGCCTCCGATAGTAATCTCACTCTTCTGACTCTCTCTCTGCGCTACCGTTTACTAGTGTGCTATATGTTACGACTTGACATGCCTGACCTGCTACTTTTTAACGTTACGAACGTACTATGCGTTTTGCATACTCTTCACATTTCAATCCGTTTGGTGAGGTTAGCTTAATCTAATCTGGAATTGGTCATTTGTTTGTCGTCGTCATTACCGGAACTCTTAGTTTTACATGGCTTGTTCCGATGAATCATCTTCCTCCAAATCTACCTTGAGATTCGACTACTATCCCTGGCGTGAAACAGCTGTTCATCCAATATTGACCATCGGCTATCGGCTTATCCGACACTTTTCTGAGAACAATGTTGTGCACAAAAAATTCCAACTTCTTTTCCTGGTCTTTAAGGCTTTTTAATGTGTTTTCAACCATGTTTCTTATCCGTTTCCTCACGTGTGTTTATACTAACATGTATGCATTTTGTTCTGTTTCAGTCTCGGACGATGGGCCTGTTGATCCGTCTACCAATGACACTGACTTCAAGTTCGCCCCTCATCCCATCTGCACAGACACACGCTCAAACTTGACTATGGTTTTCCCTTGGGGCGACGATGCTCCAACTTTACCAAAGGAGCCCAAACTGTTGCTCACCATGTGGCAGTACCTGCGGGGCAATCAATCTGATCTCTCATCAAGCGAGCAACAGCTTTTCATCCGGTCCATAGAATCTCCTCCGAGCTGGAGACCCAGACCACTAAACGATTACTCTAGATGGGTTCGAGCGATACCCCCCTCCAAAGTGGATGGCATTTCTCATCCTCTGACTAATGCTACGTTACGTATGGCCACTGCGGATCAACTGGAAACCCACTTGGAACAGGTGCGCACATTCCTATTGAATTGCCATTTGTTTGACATTCTTCTGTTCCGCATTGTGGCTGCAGTGGTCATTGATCGAATTTTGTTTAGTGTGCGGTTGTCAATAGCAGACTACGCATGTGAACAAGAGCACAGTGACTTGCTTGTATAATCAATACCTCAACATGTTGTACACCGATTAAATGCATGTAGCCTACCGGGGACGTGCTGTCATTTCAGGTGCTCATCAGGTGCATGGTCGGTAGGCATGTTAATGCTCTCTCAGTTGCTATTTTCGGTGAGCTATTGAAACATCTTGGGTCTCTGAGGACACTTCCCGCTTCCTCATCGCCTCTTCTTGTTCAGTCGGCTAAAACTGATGTGCACAGAGTACGAACCGTATTGACCTACATGTATTTGCTTATCACCATTCTGAACAACACTGTGTATTTCCGTGTTTCATAACGACTATTTGCGGCCCATTACTTGTTGATATATTGACTGTGTCGCGCCGTAACCCTTGAGTTTCATGTTTTTCAGCCGAGTGATGCGACGATGGTTTTATTAATATGTGATGTATTCCGTGCCCGTTGTTATCCACCGCCGCCTCTAACTTACCTTTCCTCTCCGCAACGTTTCAGCTTCGGATTTCGTCTAAATCGGGTTACCGATTCTCTAGAAAATAGATTGATTCTTTGATTTGGGAGGCGTAGCAATCCTCGCGACCAGTCCCTTTTTCCAACACTGCTTTCCATTCCATTTAGTTTTGCCACCATTGATGTACTGTATAGAAATCATTTTACTACTTTGTATTATCACTACACTCACCACTCCCTTCGTTAATTTGCTAAGCAGACCCTACTTCAGTTACAATTCCTAAGTAGTTATGGTTGTCATCTTTTACATCTTCCCCTTTTTTACGTCAGCTGGTCAACATTTTCATCTCATCTTCCGATGCGCAAGAAACCTCATCCGCTAAATCTTACAAACTCACTCCTTTTCGATCACCTTCACGCTCATCGCGCTCTAGTTTGCTGTCATATTTGATATGGTTTTTGGCGTCGTCAACTTCAAGCATCGGCCGTGCATCTGTGGTAGGCTTTCTACATCAACCTTACCTCCGACTAATTGGCAACACTTCCATACCAAAACTTCTGGCTGAAATCACGCGTCAGTTGAGGTCCTTCAGTTCGTTGGCATCCGATGTCACAGTTGGTTTGTGCCAGTTGTGCGGCTTGCTCATGCATCGCGTGGGATCTGCTGTGGTCCAGCGGCTGAATGACACTAGTTCACCTCACGAAGAGTCTTTAAGTCCATTCGTCTCCCAAATCTCAAGGTGTCTGGCTTCTTTGATCGATGTTTTGCGCGAACCAACTTCCCGCACAGGAGCGCGACTTCGTCACAGTGCTGTTATTGCTCTCGGCGAGCTACTGGTTTGTTCGGTGTGTCTGTTGCGACTTGACACATTGAATGCTGAGTCTTCCGGAATCAGAAACGGTGTCCAAACCGAACTGCATTCAAGCCAATGGCAAACCGCTGTGCATCACTTGCTCCGGTGTCTCATCGGTGCATCCGACGCGCCTGTCGTATCGACGACCGATGCATCAAGTGGACTGAGTGCTTTCGATCGTGTTGCAGTTGAAAGTATCAACAGGGGACAAAGCCGGAACGCGGATGGAAGCTACGGTTCCCGTGATGGTGCTACGGGCAAAGTGACGGACTTGCACGTTCGCTTGTGCGCTTCTAGATCAATGGACGCATTCGTCACTGCCATGTTAGGCTGCGGTTTGCACAACTTGTTCCTCACTCAAATTCCCATACCCCCATGTGTTCACGCGGTCACCACACCCGAAGTGGTATCCCATCTGTGGTCTGATGGTCTGCTAGATGCAAGCTCTGGACACCCAGACGCACCGACTGCTATCCGGAACCAGCTGCACTATGAGATTGGTCTCTCCTGCGCTAACGCGTTGGCAGGCATTGTTTTTCTCAATCCGGGATTGTTTACATCGGGTCTCATCGATCGTATTGGCATTGCGGCATTCGTTGCACTACTGGAGCCGCCTCTTGGAGGAATGGCATGCCAACAAACAGCCACAGTGGTTAGTTAACATCATCTCTTATCCTATCACCATGAGGTACATTTTCGCTTCACAACTAATATGTCGCTACTCCGGTTGTATTTTGCATTCTATGTGTAAGTTCTGGCCGCAAGAGAGCACTGCAACTAACCCATTGCGAATACCATATTTCTTTTTGTTATTAGTGCGAGTATCTTGTGCTCGCCAGATAAGATTTGGATTCCATTAGCAATACAAGATCTTTACTTCGTTTCTTTGCTTGTATCACTCTATAAAGGATCTGCTATCACCATAACTGAACGAGAGCGAGTACTGCTTGACTGTTTCTCGTCCACTTTCCTAGTGGTGTTTACTCGCCAATGTGGTTTAAGGCCCCTTCGTGCCTGTGATATTTCGCAGTTTTAGTCAACTAGATGCGTGCAATTTATATAGCTAATGAATTCTCTGTACAATCTTCTTTTTAATTGCGCTTCTTTATAGGCCCGATTGTTATCGATAGCGGCAACAGGCCTCTTGGTCCCTTTGAGCAACCGTATGCAACATTCAAGGGGTGATATATCTGGCCGAAGGACCAGTGAACCACACGGCTCTGTACCATCAAAGCGTCAGATGAGCTCCCCCGCAAACAACCCAGTTGGTGCCGGGACACCCGCTGCTTGTCGGCGTATACTCTCTGATCCACGGTTCTTCGTTACACTGTTTCGTCACTTAAAAAGCCCTCATCCCATGATACGTGCCAAAGTTTATTTATTATGTTCCGCAGTCTTGTCCATTTGTCCGAAAGAGAGTGTCTCCGCGGCATTCGACGCTCAACTCGCGGCGTTTTTAGAGCGTGATTCAAAATCCACAAATGCTGTACAAAATCGTTACCTCAAGGTACAGTCAACAAAATCAATCACCATGTTCGCCACAGACTTGTCGGATTCTTCATGTGTGTTGTACCTGGCGGCTACCTCCCGCTATTTGTCCGATCTACTGGCCACTTATGTAGTACCACTTATCTGCCAACAATTGTTGATTGCCTTAGGTTGTATTAGCCCCGCCAATTCTCGTACCCAAACCAAGGTTAATGCTCGCAGAACCTCTCGAACTAATTGGCTGATCGGCCACGGTCCTCGATCTGGGTCGGTTATGTCTGATTTCAACACTTCTCTGTCGAGTTCTGCTGTTTGCGTCCCCAATATGGTCGCCGCTCGCGCTTGGCTTCCGGCTTTCAACTGCCTACCTGGGCTACTGAACACTTGTCCTGCAATACGGTTGCGTTTACTAATGCCGACGCGTGATCCATTGGACGAAAAAGAGAAACCACCTGAATTCTGTCTTCTTTCTGTTTTGGGGAAACTGTTGGATTTGTGGGCATCCGTGGATCCGATAAGTTCGACAGGTGAGTTCGTTATTTGTCTTGTATAATCCGATCTGTGGTACATGTGACTCTAGCAATTCTGCATACTTGAACATAAAACAGACTATATGGCGTGCTCCTGAAACATTTGCAGCCGTGTTGCTCACTATATTTATTTAGCATACAGTCTGATTTCCTCGAGCACTTTCCCACGCTTATTTCTTATCTGACAGTCTGGTTCGAAGAGCAGTTTAGCTGCTTACTAAATCACCTGTGCCGATGTGGGATATCACACCTCCAACTGTGGATGGAATTCGGCTTGAGCTTGCTGTGTTGAAACGAAACAAGACTTCTGGGTCCGACGATCCTCCTCCATCTTTGCTACAAGATGAAGGTGACCCTTTGTTGACTGGGCTTGCTGCTCTATTTAACGATTTGTGACACTGAAGTAGTGCCTTCAAACTAGCGACTGTCAACTGTCGTGTCCATCTTTAAGTAGTGTCAACTTACTTTGTATGAGAATCATCGACCCATTTCTATTGCCTTCGAACTTCTCAGGGGTATCATTCTTCGACAACTTACTTCTGTTCATGAGTGCCGAATCACTGAAAAGCAAGCTGGCTTTCGATGTGATCGTGGTTTCATTGGACACATAATTACTCTTCCTCAAGTGTTGGTGCAAAAACACACCTTCAGATGACTGTGCTGGTTTTTCTTGACCTGAAACCCCCCTTCAACACTTTAATTCGCGCCAACTTATGACAATAACAATTCCTATTGGAAGTCCGTTAGAAACTCCTGTCCATTGTGATGTCGCTCTATCATGACCCTCTAAGCCGAGTTTGGGCCTACTGTAAGCTGTTTCCTGAGTTCCAAGCGACAAGTGAGATTCACCAGCATTGTCATTTCCTCTTCAACTTTACCATCGAAATAATTGTAAATAGCTCGGGTCTTACTGGTATTTTTAACTGGATGTTCAACCGATTGGCCGGCTAAATAACCTTGGATATACGCGTCATATATGTCCTTGGGTACGGCGCAGTGACTATGCAACCACAACTGAATTGACTGCTGCGTATTGCTTCAAGCTTCAACATGTGCTTTGCATTTTAAAAGTGTAACGTGTTGCTACAGGATTGAATTGATGCCCCACCAAACACCCACTAGTAGTGATGGATCGGTTCACTTGCCTCGGTAACTGTATCATTGAGGAACTTACTTATTGCGGCAGTAAGTTATGTAGTGCATTTATATGACCAGCGGTTTATGAAGACGACGGGATCTCGGCTTGTCAGTGAAATTAGGATTGTACAACACTGTGATAAAGCTGATGTTACTGTATGTATCACTGAACTGGCTAGTTCGCGGCGAAAATGTTGAACGCTTGGCTGTGCTTGATCACCATTGCTTGGGGAGTTTTGCTCACTTCTTAGGGGAATACTTGCTGATCTATGCTGAAGGAACATACTGCCAGCATGGACCAGCCACAGACTAGCATTAAACCACCCAGATGCCTGGAGACTTGCAAGACAGTATGGAAGACGCGTGGTCAAGCTGATGATTACTGATGTTCATAACCACCTCCACAAACATCCGAGTCATAAACGACAATAAAACTGATTGACCCATATCCACAGGCAGCAGTGGAATCCGCGATTGAACGTCGAGTTGAGAACACAAGGAGCCGACGCAGGATTGCATTAAGCGCAGTTGTTATCCTTAAGGCCTCAGCCCGGCTTCTTCTTCCTAAACACACTCATAAAGGTGGTTATCCACGCCAGCAGTGAAGGATGGATCAACAACCTATCGCGCCGCGCCATCATTGCAGCTGAGGGGAACCTCTTGGTCAAAGGGCTCAGCTTTAACGTCAGAGCTTCTTACCACAAAGCTTACAATACGCATTGAACTCCAACGGAATGTCAGAGTAATCTCAACAACCAATTCGACAAACAGTTCTCTGGGTGTGAACTTGAACAATGTCACATAGATTCTGTCCAAGGAGGAACAATAAACCTTTGGATGACTTCAGAAGGAAGGACATGTTGGAATTCTACCAAGCGGATAGAGAACACATAACAGTCATAATGGATCAACCGGGCTACATTACCAGGACAAAAGCACTACTACCTAACACAGTTCCATATCACCCGATCGATCAGGACTCCAGTTCAAAGCTGCACAATCAGATCATCGCAACACTGAAGAAGTTACAGACAGGAAATGAGATCGCTGGCCTAGAGCAATGGACAGTGATGTCCGACGATACAAACAATGCACAATTCGACTACACAAAGGGTATAAAGATGGAGTTCCCCTCCGCTCAAATGTCTCACTTCCCGGTACCCCACCGTATAACTTAGCAAAGAATTTATAGATGAGGTTAAAGCACCTGATTGTCGGATTTGAAGATAGCATCAACAGTGCTGAACAGTTCCTCAACAGGCTGCGAGGTGTCTAGATGGAAGACGACGCAACTATGCTCTACTTTAACATCACTGCACTGTTCACCTCGATCAGTCACGAACTTATCAAAGCAACCATGATGGAGCTACTTCAGAACCAAATAAGCACAACGACAACAGTACAACCCGGGAGTTTATGGGAACTCTTGGACTCCCGCATGACAACTTATTTCTGCTTTAATGGTCAGGTATACTGGAAACTGAAAGGAACGCCCATGGGATCCCCAATATTGGGACTTATTGCCGAAGCCGTGAGGCAGTAATTGAGGTTCATTGTACTGCATCCATCAGTGCAAAGTTTTGGATCCGATGTATGGACGACGCATTTGTCATCATAAAGCAAAACACAGTACAGACGACGCACGAGTTGCTCAACAACACTTTCGACGATATCGAATTTACAACTACCTTAGAGAATGACATTATGCTGCAATTTTTGGATGTACAGGTCAACAGGAATACCGATGGGACACTACAAGGATGCGTATACCAGAAGAAAGCGCATACAGATCAGGTATTAAACTACCACAGCAACCACCCCATTAGCCACAAAAAGAGCTGCGTTCAGAGCTTATTCAAAAATGCGGAAACAATCCGATACAATGGAATTGAGAAGATTAGAAGAAAACTACCTATATCGGGTATTTCGAAACGTCGGTTATCCGAGAAACTTCATCAGAAGAGGATTAAGGAAATGAACACTTCATCAACAGCAGTAGCCACGAGAGCAGACAAACAAATGAATAGTGTTCCCGTACATCAAGAACGTTTCTGAACTGACAGAATGGTTGCTACAGTCACATGGAATTTCGGTTGCCCACAAACTAAGTGCCATCTTAAGGAAACTGATTTCCAAGCCTAAAGATAAAGACGATCAGAGCAACCGAGACCATACCATCTATTCTTACAAATTTAGTTCTGATAATGTAATTTGAACTTCTCCATTATCGATATTGTAAGGTGCTGAAAATGTACCCATCGGGATGCATAAAGCTTATTTTGTCTTATCTGTCTGTTCAGAAAAGATGCAACGAATGTTACAAGAACTACGTTGGACAAACTGCAAGGAAGATTCGTATACGAGTCACCGAGCACAAAGCCTCCATAAGAAGACATGATCCGAATTCGCTGGTTTCCGCACATGAAGATCACTTCGACCTGGAAAATGTGAAGATTCTGGTGAGTGAGAGTACAAAGCATGCGAGAGAATTTCTGGATGGATGGCACCACAGCTAACAATTAACTGACGCATTGAAATGGACGCAGTATACGCCTCGCTATGGCCGAGAGATTGTCAGCCCAGTCAATTAAATCCGTTGGATCAGAACACCAGACAAGCGGCATGGACGGCGCACTCGAGCATACGAGTAACCGGGCAAAAGTCACAATGCACAACTCAGAGGTCAGATTCAAAGTTCACATACCTGTCAAACAAACAGAACACGGGCAGATGTCCCAGCCAACAAGATTGCTCGTCTACGCGACGAAACATGGTAACTTATAAAAGCGCACACCCACTATACCTGATACACTCTCATCAAGGCTTTCCACGCTGCGCTATTTGCTACACGCTACTCAACAGGGCACTGATGTCACCACGATTGGTACCGAAACGTCTGGAACAGTTGCCAAGCTCAGCGAACAGTGCGACTGCAACCACGAGCAATGCAGAGCTCTGCCAGTTGGTTTTTAGCAAGAAGCCTTCTGGTGCCTCGCTTACGTTGGCTAGGTCATGTCCTCCGTATGCCCGTTGACCAGCTTCCTCGGTGTGCACTATGCGGCGCCGCTGCACCAAGTTGGGCGAAACCACGAAGTAGCCAGTTTATGACGTGGAATAAAGGCTTGAAGAATTGACTGAAAAACTTGGTCAGGCTGGTGCATGCAGTCTTCGGGGTGGGAACCCCGGGATGCTCCAGGCCAATAGTTGGTGACTCTTTCAAGCATGGCGCAGTCACGCAATCAGTGACGTTCTTGAATTCCCTTTATTGCATCTAGTTGTTGGTATTCATTCCATCCTGGTTAGTTTAACGTGCTTTCTCGATCCCATTTTCCTTACTTTCTGTTTACATTCGTCCTCATTTTTTGCTATTGTTGTTTATTGTTGTTCTGGCGATATGTCTTGGCAGCTGGATCCAACGCACTTCGGTGCCCGGATCGTAGTTGTACAACTGAACTGAATTGACGATAACTTCGTTTTATTGATTATGATTTTGAAATATTTTTTTAACGATCTGCGTATATTTTCGAAGATGCTCACTAAGTTGTTATTGAAATACTCTTCTTTTGCTTACATACTGATTTGATGCTTATAACTTGCCTATCACTTGCTTATCGTATTTCAGTTTTCTGAATCCGTTTAGTGGCGCGCCTCCGAGTCCAGGTTCGCATGCACGGCACCACATAAAATATTACTCACGCACGTGTCCAACAGCATGTAATCATGCTTCATAGACCTGTATCCAACGAGAAGCAATCTTCTAGCGACACCGATACCCGATGTTTCTTTTTTCACTCTCGCAGCGTCTCTGATCAATTTGCATCTTTAAGCACCATCCTTCACCAAAAGCTGATACTCGAATAGGCAAAGCGTTGGAACACGACACCTAGTCCTTTTGGTATGCTCGTCACGCTCTTCAGTGGTTTCAGCGATATACCCTTCGGAATCATAACGGAATAGGAAAAACAGGGTCATGGTATGAAGAAAAAAGCAGGCAGCGTTTCTTGTCCAGTTTTCCATTTACAATTTTTCAGTTTTTTGTATCTTGTTTTATTATGGGGGAAAGGGACTCACCGCAACACACAGAGACACACGTCCACCATTGATTTCGGTTTTGTACCTTGACTTCAACCAGCGACAATCCGTATCTCTGGGGTCCAGCCTTGCCCAGCAATAGCGGAACTATGCATGACGCCGAAGACGCTGGACGGAGATAAGCAATACGTGTCCTAGCCACCGCAATTAACGCAGCAAAGCGAGCTTCCCGTGACAAGCTCTCTAACTTCCATGTTGCTTACGTGGTGCGACCACCACACACGAGCAATGGGTCGCAAGCAACGGTGCTCGAAGACAAGTTGGCGCAGGTCAACGGTATGAGCAAGCCAAGTTCCGCTACCGTACAACGCTACTGCGCGGGCAGTCGCCTAATAAACCCGCTTTTGATAAACAGACGGATGTCATGGCGGCGCCACAAGTGCCTCAGCCTGGAGAAAGCGAGACGATCTTTTGAGATACTCATCGAAATCTCATCTCCAACAGCCCCACCAGCAGCGACGCAACCTCCCACGTAGACAATTATCCCCGAACTCCAATGTCTCGCAAACAAGAGTGAGGGCAAGTACAGGCATCTACCGGTCTTGAAGTACTTTGCATTTGGGCGCGGAAAAGCGCGCGCCATACTTCGACGCTTCAATCGTCAGCAGTTAAGTGCAAGTTGGACAATCTGGGGACCGTCAGCCATCAGGAAAATCTCATCAGTATAGTCCAATTCAAGTACTCGACTACCTGGGAGGAGCTCAACGTCTGCGTTTGACGTGTCTTCTATGGCATTTTGAGGACATGCTCGATAGCAGAATTGCAGTGGAATGGTGAAATAGGGCACCTTTGTCGAACCTCACTGGTTACACCAAAGGAAGGCGAAAGCTTGCCCTAAGCCCTAACTCTACACGAGGTCAGACCATACATAGCACGCAACACGCAGCACGGAAACGAGCTTTCTGGGCACTCCATTCCTCAACAGACAGTGTCGCAATACAGACCTGTCGACGGAATCGAAGGCTGCACGACAGTCGTTAGCTTTTGATACACATGACAAAGCTTGAGGATCTCGCGGAGTGCAAAAATGTGATCGATGCAACCGCGATCAGGACGGAACCTAGCCTGTTCTCTCCGCTGTAGAGATTCGCGTATTTGGGATGACCTAAGAAGTATGATGAACACCAGGGAGTGGCGCGTTTCTATCATTACCCATGTCTATGCGATCAAATTTGTCATTTAATGTTTGACCAACAGTTCGTCCAGTGCCGGACCGGGCTGTCTATCTATTCGGACCCACCTACATTGGCCATTGCCTGCCCCGATCAATGATACCTACCAGTCTACGGGTAGTTGTTTGGAGACGCAGTGTGTTCAGCGGATGGCATGCAAACGAGCCGGAAGAAAATGACCAAAAGCCTCCACTGGGCTAGTGCTCATGGTCCTCATGAACTAGTGCATCAGGACTGACTATGTACAGGGCCTGATAGGACTTTGTGATTTGGCTCCGGAGCTAATTGACTATCATAATTTCATTTAGTCAGTGGTTTGTATCCGTTCACTTTTCAGCCTGATGGTTTATGGCTTTTTCCCCAACAGTTTTTTTCAAATTCTTGTTTCAGTTCATAACTTATCCCCGTTTGAGTCAGAAGTAAGCAAATGCGCGAAGAATATTCTTTTCGATAATTCTCATCGGGCGTGTACAATTATGAATCAAAATATTGGAGGGAATAAAGCTCGTAGAGGCTTGTACGGAAAGCAACCAACTCATTAACCAGGCAATATGAAGACTAAATCAATGGTTTGATCAATCAGACCGTTGCATTAGGAAGCACGTTCTCAAGGCAGGTCATATGTCAAGACCAATGCAATTTCAGAGCCTGTAGTAATGTGCGCTGTCTGTACAGCTCCCGTTTCGGAATCTTGATTCCAATGGCTTCAGAAATGGTCAACAGATGTTTCTTAAGCCTTTTTGCATAGCGTTTAGGGATGGTATAAACGACTTTAAACGACTGGTTCATCTGGATTTGATGTTCAGTGTCAAGTGTTGTAAAACGGAACTGATGATGAATTTTACGGTGCGTTTTCGTATTGAGGCGTGATAGTGTTCAACGATTCTTTTGGACAAACACCTGGTCGCATGTCCACAATGCCTAGCTCCACAGGTGCAGCTAAACTGGTATAAGACAAACGATTCGGACCTTTAAGCACTTAAGAATCAATGGTCTTGTTACGGCAAGTAGTTTTTGATTGATGGTTGGAAATGTCTTGTCCGCTGCCGTCGAGATTTTTCTATTCAACAGTTCGAACGCGATGTCACATTTAAAGGAAACTGTAAGGAATGCATTCTTTTTGGGCACTGTAACGACAGACTTGACAGCATCTGGCTGTTTACAGTACTTTTTGATGAAAAGCGCAGGGTACCCATATTCTTGCAACGTGTAATAGATGTGCCTGGTTTTGCTTTCCAGCGCCTCTGGGCTGCACTTTGCTCTGGCATGATGATATAAGCAACGAACTAAATTCTCCCTATATCTCAGCGGTACAAAGCTAGGAAAGTGGGTGTACTGACCAACCCATGTAGCTTTGTGAAAAACGCTTCTTTTGGTCGTCCCGTTTTCACGCCGATGCAACAGAACGTCTAGAAACGCCAAACTGCCATGTTGCTCAACTTCACTAGTAAGTTTTAATGGATGCACTGTTGAACTTATCCAATAGGGTTAGCTAATTGGTGCAAGAGTCACAGACAATCAAAATGTCGTACATGTAACGGTAGTATAAATCAATTGAAGAAATAAGGGTATTCAGGTGTCCTCGTTCGAGCTTTGAATGGATGATGTCAGCCAAAAGGGGCCTTGGGGAGAACCAATTGCGACTCCATCTATCCTTCCATTAAACAGAAATTGTACGTTGATGGTTCAACGCAGAATCAATCCTTTTATTTTATTCACCGGAATTCCAACATTAATGTTTCTTTTTGTGATGAAATCACAAATGGATGTCACAGTCTACCAACGGCACGTTCGTGAAAAGCGATCCCACGTCAAACGAAAGCATTAATTTATCCTCCACGTTAGGTTTTCTATACGGTTGACAAAATCAAACGTGTCTTTGACCATATGAATCGAAAATTGCGAACCGGTTCCAGCAACTCTGTTATCCACTTTGCGACAGAGTGAAAAGCGGAAGTAGCCATGTCCACTATTGGTCGCATGGGAACGTTTGTTTTGTGTACTTTTGGCGAACCATAAAGTCGCGGAGGTTGTGAGCCGCATAAAGTCAGCTTTGAGAAGAGCGCATCATCTATGTGCTTTGACGCTCTTAATTCTTACCAAATGTTAATGATTTTTGCTTCCTCTTGCGATGTGGTCTCTTTTTGGATTGCGTCTCTTTGTAGTTTGTTAGTGTCGCTCAGAATTGTCAGTTTAGAGACGTAATTAATTCATCAATACCCAGCCAGATCCTTTGTCTGGTCATGAAAGGATTAGTTCTGGGTTGGTTAACAGCTTCTTGATTGTGTCACGGTGCTTTGTGTTAGGACGTTAGATGCTCGAGACTTAATTCCGGTATTTGGTTGACACTGGACGTCAAGTCCAGCTGAACCAGTCGTTTAAAGTCGTTTATACCATCCCTAAACGCTATGCAAAAAGGCTTAAGAAACATCTGTTGACCATTTCTAAAGCCATTGGAATCAAGGTTCTGAAACGGGAGCTGTACAAACAGCGCACATTACTACAAGCTCTGAAATTGCTTTGGCCTTGACATATGACCTGCCTTGAGAACGTGCTTCCTAATGCAACAGTCTGATTGATCAAACCATTGATTTAGTCTTCATATTGCCTGGTTAATGAGTTGGTTGCTTTCTGTACAAGCCTCTACGAGCTTTATTCCCTCCAATATTATGATTCACAATCGTACACGCCCAATGAGAATTATCGAAAAGAATATTCTTCGCACATTTACTTATTTCTGAATAAAATTCTTGTTTGTCTTTTTGATCTTTTTATCTAACTCATCACCCTACTATTGTTAATTATCCTTTTTGTGGCGACGCAAGTCGTAACAGCGTCATCCATCTCAATGCACAAGTTTCATGAGCTGTTGGAAGCACACTGTTCAATACTAATTTACTCCAAATTCGGAAGCTTGAGGGGTTGTATCGGACCCAGATGGTCCTGTGGTCATTGTCAACTATAGACTGCTACTTTGTCACTGCCTCCGTAGTTAATGCTTACTCAAAGGATGTTCTCTGTTAACTAGTTAACTCAGTAAAAACTGGCTTTCTGGTCATATTTATCAGTTACCTACCAATTTCTTTTGAATCGATTTCATAGCGGCTTTCTGTTTTTACAAAGATACACTAACCCCTTCTCATTTTTGTGCTTCTCTGGTTTCTGCTAGAATCCACTCAAGCTGTCTATGTTATCCCCTCTATGCCTTAGCGTTTTGGATTTATGTGTGCATTGTGTTAAGAGCTTGCCTGATCAGAAACCATGGCATTAGAAATCTGTGTTTCCATTACATGCTGATCCTAATTCCCTTTACTTATGCTAATGTTTTCAGTTACCGTGGCCGATGTGCATCAGTCAGGCAGCGTAAAAAGTAATTTGCTTGGCATTACACTCACCATAACGGAGGATCTTAGCCAGCACTCGGATTTAGTGGAGACAAGACGTCGTGATCTCGTGTGTCTCGTGTTACCTGGCCTAGCCCGCCTCGCCGTGGCTCCGAAAGCTCGCCCAGAGACTCGCGCCATTTGTGTGAAAGTAAGTACCACTCTCCTTATCTGTGTAGTTACTCTTAGTGCGTTATTGAAGCGCATTGCTTCGCAACAACCGGTCCGTCTCGCTGAGTGAGCCTTGCTTTACTCTGTGCCAGTTGAAGCATTCTCCCTCTTCATGCAGCAAAACAGACTGAACGAACTGATGCGTAATTTTTTCTAACCCATCCTTGAGAATAGGGTGAAACTTATATATATGGGCATTGTTTTCGAGGTCGATTTTGGGAGCATGTAGGCTAATGCATACACGAATCACTCAGTTCTTTACATTGCTTGTCCGTAGATCACGCGTGACCCAAGTGTTGCCAGTTCTTTTGCCAATCTTCGCTGCCCTGTGGAGTAAGCAAGGTCCTCGTTGACCTGTCGCATAGTTACAGAAACACTGGACCTAGGCTTGGTTCAGCATTTCATGTGAGCTAATCTAGTTAGGTTGCTTAAGCGTTAGATTCTAGTCGAATATAACTTCCCTACCTCCCACATTGGTGAGTTGGGAACAGGTGGAAACCACATTCCTTCCTAATGGCCCATTTTGTAGCACGCCGTAAACTTTTCGTTGCCTCTCAGTGAAGAATTTGATTAAAGAATATTGGCTGACGTGGTTATACACGACATCTTCCTTCGATTCAGGTGCGATAGCTGCTTCTCAGCCCCCATATCTAGATTTTCACACATCTTGCTTCAGTCTTTTCTCCGTTTCAAAATGCCGTCTTATTTGTTGCACAATTATCCCTCTTGCCGATTCACAGCATAATAGTTGACGGCAGGCTCGGAACTGTAGAGTGGTGGATCAATATATCGATCACATTGTTATTTGTTCACGGTGGAGCGTCAGGTCTGAAAAAGTCAACAGCTGAGCTTTGAAACCGAATTCATGGTATGCAAACCACTGCTACTGTCGATCCTCAGATACGGTAGCGAAACCTGCACGCCATACAGAAAAGACCTTGGTTATCTGCAGCGGTTCCGTAGTTAGTGCCTACGTTAGATTCTGTGCATTCGTTGGTGTGACAGAGTCCATGAGACGGAAATGTGCCTCCAGAGCAGCATGAATGGAATGGATTACGTGCTGCTACTGCGACTCGGACATCTATGTTGTAAGGACACGACCACGATATCGAAATACCTGCTTGTAAGGCAAACGGAGCCCAGATGAGCGAAATGTAGGTAAACCGATATTGCGCCATCGGGACCTAATATATGGGAATTCACCACAAACTGTTCACAATATGTGCTAGTAGGGCAACTGACAGTGGATCGCCGCCAACAACGCGATCGCATCAATAAGTTTGGTTCCAAACATCCGATACTAACTGTTCCAGCCCTTAAAGTCCAATCTTGTGAACACCTACTTTACAGCTTCGGACTCAGCGATGATCATTATGTGTGTCTAACTGCGACGAATCTACACAAAACCTAATAAATCCCCCTACTATTTACAAATAATCAGTAGTTGACTTAGCAGCTTACATGCCACCTCGATTGGTGGCGGCTTGCAAAGAAAGTCTACTCTGGGGGCCAACCATGTCCTCTGCACATTCTTAACATGCGACACAGTGGAAGATGAGCCGCTTTATATCGCAGTTAGATATCAGTCATGGCGGTCCGCTGCCGTCGCCTATGGCTCAGTGACATAAATCGCTGATTCGCAAGAGTAAGGTCTTGGGTTCGAATCCGGTAGGATTTAGCAGATGCGCGCTACTGATGAGCCCCAATTGGACGAAACGGCCGTCTAGCGCTTTCCTCGATGTGTGATGACTGTCTGCCTGTGTCTAACTGCGACGCATCTACACAAAACATAATAAATCCCCCTACTGCTTACAGATGATCATTATGATCTGCCAGGTTAAAAAGCAACACTGTATTAGTTGCTTTACTCTTATTTTTGCCGTCCTATGGCTCGTGGAAAATCCTTTCGCATTTTAGCTTGTTGCTCGATGACATGCGTTCCATAGCGGACCGCGATTATCTGCTAGGTTTACTAAACTGGAGTTTGTGGACTTCCGTACTTATGTCTTCATTTGGGTCTAATCCCTATCTATTCCGACTGTACTTGAGCTTACGCACTCGACTGGCGATGTGCTCATAAACAGCCGAACTATGATGTTAATTCACGTATATCTGAACAAAGCTCTACAATCATTTCGGACAGTAATGGGATTTGAAGCCGTCATGATCGTCAAACAGCAGCAACACATCGTCCGCACATTGTTTGCTTCCGCGGACTTCGGGTTGATACCCTCGGGCGCCTGAACGCCTCCCCACTCATCACATGTCTCGGAGAAGCGTTTGTTGAACCAAGGGTATTGCGGTATTTTTGCGTGACGGTATTCGGTCTGATTAATCCATGTCAAGCCGTAGTGGGGTTTAACATATTTACTAAAATCTGTAGTGTCTTATTGTTTGTTATTTTAGACTGTATTTCATACTATATTGTTCACTAGTTGCCCTTCAAGGCTTCATCAAATTCTGAAAGCATTCTACCAACTCATCTCTTGTTATCGAATACGGTCATAAACTCAGTAACACATTCAAACGAATTAGGAATAAATGTCTTGAAAAAGCGAATGCATCGTGCTGCATGGTGATCTGGCCTCAGTCATTGTTCTGTCGACAAAGCGAAAGTCCCACTGATACTTTCCAGTAATGTTCACTCGCTTCTTGGTAAAATCATTGATCTCAATGCCATTTTGCAGCGCAATGAGTATGTAAATACAGTAATCATGATGTTACAAGAAAGCTGATTGCACACTGCTGTGGAAAATGGGGTAATTCAACTCGATGGTTATTTTCCCATCTGGTCTCACTGCCCCGAAAAGGCCCAGTTTCGTGGTGCTGGTGTTATAACTTACGTTGATCCACGTTGTAGCAATTCGGCAATCGTAATATTCACATACTCAAAGATCTCTATAAGCTGCCATTTAAGTGAATTCAAACTGAAGTTCTTAAGTGCCTTTCAATCAGTCATCGCCGGAAACGTATACATTGCTCCTGACAAATCTACATCCGAGTTAAAGCTTTTTAAAAACCAAGTTTCTTCAACGCTACTGCTTAAATTAGCTTGTTCTATCTGTATTGTTACTGGTGACTTTAATAGAAAAAATGACTGTTTCGACCAAACAAGAGGTTCAGTTGGACGCTGTGCTTACAAACGACACTTGTTTTCCATACAAAAACGGGCTCCTTTGAGCACCTCAGATCGCTGTATTTTAGAACTGTGCCCAGTCAAATACAGCAGGTCTAACTTTTTAACGCTAACCAGACGTCACTACAAGATTATCAAACGGCGAGATTGCTCCTTCAAGAATATCACGAGGCTCCAGATGATGTTTTCCTTAACCGATTTTTCGATCTTCAACGACGAGGACCTGTTGCTCGAATGTGACCATCTTACGGACTAAATCAAATATTGCTTTGCCATGTGTTGACCTGTTGAAACTGATCGATTTCACCTACTTCACAATGATCTTACCAAAACGCTGTCTTTCTCTTTTACTCTTTCGAAATTCATAATTTTATTCTCCTGTACATCATCATATCGTAATGATGTTTTGCCTTATCTCTCACGTTTGATTCTTGACTCAGCGAAAGTCACTAACATGCTACACGAGTGGTTGTTGGAATAACAGTTGTGCATTTTCCCATTTTTCCTTCCAAGCATATATATTGATTGATTTTATCATCCAGATGTCCACAGCGGTGGTGTAAATGCTCAAAATGAACTCATTAGGGTTCATAAAGCTTATTTTGACTTGACTGTCACGCTAGACCTTCCCTATTTTCTTGTGAAGAGCTCAAACTTGTGCATATTTCTCCTCTTTCCTATCTACGTCGTGGGTTTCATATGTCTTTCTCCCTATAATGTCAGTCGAATTGAGTCGGTTGGTTCGCTACAGCTCAACCTTTCATATATCGTTCGTAAGATGGACCTGTCTATCATTGTTTTATGTGAGTGCAGTCTTGCGTTGTGCGTACATAGACCGTTAAGTTGATGCGCACGGAAATGTACGCGTGGAAGCGAAGACAACGGTTAAAGGGATGGAAGATCGTCCACGTTTGCGATTGCATTTCGAATTCTGTTGTGGAATGTGCTGAGCCGACCTAACTGAATCGTGCTAATCAGCATCCTACTCCAGAGAAATGGGCAGTTCTGCTCCCAAATTTACACCACCATTTGCAACTGCAATAGTTGGTCTGTGAAGTGGTGGTTAGCTCCTCAGTACCTGATCTTTAGATGGCATACTCTCAGGACCTTATTCACACAATCAGTGTTTATTTAACCTCCCCTTGATTTGTCGCTGGCAGATCTAAAATCTTATCAACTAACTGCACCGGAAGATGCCTTTAGTCTATTTTTTACTCCACTGAAACTTATTTTCTCTTCTCTCGTTCAGATCGTGGCTAAATTGGCAGAGACGCTGCTCGCCGATTCCGTATACGTAGCTTCCACACGCAGTCTCGTCGATTTAAAACGGCCAGTTCATAGTGCTCGGCCGTTGAGTATGTATGGGACCCGTCGTGCCTCCACAGGTCAACGGCCGTTGAGCGCTGACGTTGACTTGTTATTGCAACAATACGGCACCACAACAAAATCTTCAGATCGCATTCATAGTGTGTCGGAGCTCAGTCAGACACCAAGCGAAGATCTGTTGGTCCAATCGTGCTACATTCCGAGCGATTTCAATGCAGGTACTCCTCCTCCAGGGATCCCTGATATGTCTACTTCGAGACCTCGAAGGCCGGATCGTAAACCGATGGCCGCAACTTTGGGGTCCGCTGTGCAACCGCCCACGTCTGATGTTTTGATGTCGTTATTCGAGGTGGTGAACAGGTTGATGATCCCTTATGTAAGTTTATCCGTCCCGATTTTGCTATACTTGTGATTGTTATACCTCTTTGAGGTCATTTTGATCTGCGGTTGATGTATACTTGCAGTCCCAAGCGAAGTTTACATGAGCGTTCAGGAAACAGAACACATCTTGCGGTTAGCCGGAAACCTTTTCCTTTACTTTCTTATATTGAAGCGCACATTATCCATTCTCTCATGCCTGTCTATCATGGGTGTGGGCATTCAAGCATATCCGTCCATCAACAAAGCTTGGTTTACAGGTATGTGCAGCACGTGCCTCATGAGGTACTGTACTAACACCGTAGACCTGGAAGTGACTTGAGTAGTCATTGTCGGTCTGTATTACGGGCGATCATCCCGACCACTGCTACAGAGTCTATCACCTACATGACTTTGTTCCGATGGACATCTCTTTTCAGTGACGGACTAAAATTTGGTTCCTCAACTTTGTTACCACTGTCTTCAAGCGAACACTTCTCCGAGTAGCACGGAAGATGGCACTGCTCTGCCTGAAAGTGCCTCCGTGATCGGTTCACTTCAGTTCGTTTAGATCACTTCTTCCATCGAACAACTAGGTCAGCACTTTGCTTATATCTGCCCCTGAACACTGAAGGTACTTGAGAATCTTGCTCTACAACGCGGTGACAGTTGAGGACTGCGATCACAACTCCAACGTTAGCTATAGTCGGGTCCTTAAAGCCAACCTTCAAGACCCAGTTAATGCCAGCTGAGCACGAAGTGGCTTGGACACAACGGGCCAGCTAAGCTGCTCCTGGGGTTCTGTGTTGTGAACTGTGGACGTCGACCTTATCATTGATTGTCTGTCCGACATTTGTGATCTTAAGACCAGTGGCACGGATCACTTGAAAGGGTGTGCAAAAGTTGTCTGACACTCTTACCTGCTCCACTTCATAACTTCTTCGAGTTCACCAGGCCTCCTTCCTTTGATCTGTTATACATTGTGTCTGCGAACTGCACACAAAAAGCAGGGTCGTGAATCATCTGAGACCACCGGGTAGCCAAAACAGTCTTCAGCGCATCCAGATCAACGATTCGCGGTCTTCGTTGTATCATTCTCCACAAACTGACTAAGAGTGCTTTTCCTGAACGAATTCTGGTGGTTACTTACATCTGTGCAAATTGAGTTCCATACTTTTTCAGAGTTATCACACAGTGGCCGAAGCTTATGTCTCTTTTTGCCATGTCGGCAAACGCTAACATTTTTCGTAGCCTAGTGATTATCAAAGAAGTATTCGATACTAATTTGAATGTCAATTAGTCTAGTTACTATCGTTATTGCGTGTGATAAACGTTTAATACGATCTCGTATCAGCGCCATTACATCTCTGAAGCCGTTGTGTCACGCTGACGTGGCTTTTCAGCATAGTTGATCTCATAGTGTCCGTTGTATCAGCGCCTGTGAAATCAAAGATCAGGTGCTGAACCGAGGTACTTTTGCTAACCATCCATTTATAGCGCCAGCGCGATATCACTCTCGCTCTGAAGGGTAGGGTGTGAAGTGCTGCTGTACGTTCGATCCTGCTCTACGGTTGTGAAACCTGGCCCATTAGATCAGCCGATAAAAGAGACTAATTACGTTCGACCACCGGTGCTTCGGCTCATATCTGGCGGGAACACCTTGTGAACAATGAGCGTGTTCTGCGCCTTGTTTATGACGCAGGAAGAGAAAGTGAACCACTCAAAATCGTTATTTCACAAATTAGGCTCCGATAGCTGAGCCACATGTCGCGCATGCCCGCACACCGAAGTGCGTTGTTCGCGCGACCGGGGTGTGGATAAAAGAGGAGGGGTGGCCAAGCGATGACATTGTTAAGAGGAATGAAGGCTTTAGGTTCGAAATTAGGCTCGGTTGGAGCCTCGATTGGCGTGCTTCTATGGCGTCCTTTTTTCCTTTTACTGTTTTGCGGCACAATAGCTGAGGTGTTTCTTACCTCTAGCTAACGTGTATAATGATGTTGATGAACGACGAACAGCCTTAAAATTGCTTTGACAATTTTGGCATCTATTAACAGGTGCACGCTACTTCAATCTGTTGGTCCCTTCGGAGCACTTGCTTATCATCCGATCATGATGGTCATTTGACTAGATGCACCAAAATTACTTACTTGTCAGTTGTGTTTTTGCTGTGCTTGGCAGCAATCTAAATCCGACTTGCAACCTTGCCTTCAACCATCGAACAAGGTGAACCTACCGAATGGCAACTGATATTCACTGTGTAGGGGTATTCTTTCGAATTCTTAAGTCAAATTGGCTTGATTGTGCTCGAATGACAATTGGGTCACCAAGTCCTCGCTTTATTTGATAGAAGCGGGGTGGATGGCTTCATTGGAAGGTTAGCTTCGGTGATTTTCGTGTCCGTGAGATAGACTTGTCATTTGACTTTTGGATCTATAAAGTATTGTTGCAGCTCATCCGATACTCAGTCCCAACAGATTATCTCGCCGGTTTTGAGACTACTTGTGAAAGATAAGGCCTTACCTTTTATCAGCCCTATCGACTAGACCATTTTCGGGCAATTTCAAAGATCAGCGTACTGCAATCGCTCTCTGGTTCCACTGTTGGTTAACCCATTAAACCCACCCGACACATTTAAGTGCCGACGCCATCCGTCTACGAAGTCCGATGCCAGCCGATAACGCTCAGAAGTAACAAAATGTTTGGCCCTGGATAGTTGCGCTTTACGGACTCGTTTTATGCAAGGTGGATTCGGACTCAGGCTCGCGACTATCACTGTCACTTCGATCCGCAAAAAGTGTGACAGGACGCACTGTGGAAATCATCAGTGTGTATCTAATTTTCATTACTTCCAAATTACTCACAAACGTCGCTCATTGGTCCTCGTGTAGTTCGTATAAGAAAAGATGAGGATGGCATCTACTCTAGGAGAAAAACATTTGGACTTCATCAAGTGATCATTCTCGGCGTCATGCATCTAAATGCTCTATCATATTATGCTCCTTGGTTCAGCTGATTACACCGCTTTATGGTGCCAGCTCAATTAGAAGTGCATGCCATTCGGAACCTGTTTTACTCCACATGCATGCTGTATAGTCAACTGGAGTTCCGCTCTGAGCTCACCGCGATAAGTGTCCCATTAGAACCAGTCTATTCCTTCATTCCACTTCAACCTTGGGATAAAAATGCTAATGACTGACCATTCTTTACTCCCTACTCTTGAAGCGCAAGTCCCACCAACTGATCATCTGGTCCGTGGACCATATCGTTTCCTTCGATCTGTAGTCGGCTTTTTCTGCGACACGCTTTAGGCAGGGGACTTTCCCCTTCAAAATCCTGCGTAGTATTGCTTCGATGCATAGATGCGTTACCGTTCATCACGTTCGCCGAAGAGTCAATCTAATTGATGGATTGTGGCAACTTCCCCAACAGCTGCATCAAATCTACTTGTCAAATCCCCTCGAGGTTGCTGTGGCTTTACATAACGTTAGTCATATTTCGGAGTTAAGAGATATGTTTCTATCGTTTAACGGTGTGTTTTACAACACTGCAGTGACAGCAGAAGCATGCGCGCATTATGGGACTATTCCTTTTAAAATGCTTAGGAAAACTGGTAGCTCGGGTTGATGATTCAGTTGCTCATTCGATCGCCGAGCTTGGAAATTTGTTTGCAAACGTTTCACCACCATGCGAGGTGGCATCAGCAGTGCGCTGAGATGTACAGTGTAATCTCCTTGATTCAATTGTCAATCCGTGATAGGTGTTTAGGTGACTTTTTGAAAGTAACGGCTTCAATCTGCGCCTCGTGATTCTTACCCATTTCCCCACGGAGGAAGTCGTCGATCGAATTATTCCTATCCAAGCGGCGTCTAGTAATTTCTCTAAGTTCTTTCCGTCGCAGAGGCTGGTAAACTGGGTCAAGGTCCATATGCATGTGGATTGAGTCCTTTGTTGAGAATCACGCATCCATGGTGACATGCGTATGGGTTTTGGCGGACGCCCACGACGACGCTGTGAGCGCATTGACACCAGTCAACTGGCGAAGCCAGCTGTTTTGAATGCTTATCGAAATACCCTGTCATTCGATTTGAGTAAGCGCTCACTGGAGATAATTGAATTTCATTGGTTGCATTTTCACTAGACCTGACTAGCAGCAGGTAAATGCTCATGTGGTAAGTCTAATAGCCAACATGAACATTGGGTCTCTTCGCTGTCTCTGGAACTTATCGATGTTCGCCGGCATAATCCGGCTGGACGCGAACACAGTGAAACTCGCGAAGAGCTCCCTGCTAGCCTGAAGAGAGACCGCGAATCCTGGTGGTCTCTTTGTGCGTCAGAGACGGAAGTGGCCGCTGTCCTTGGTAATCGACGAAAGTAATTCTGTCTCATACAGGAAACCGGCAGCAATACGAATACAAGAGCACAAAAGAGCGTGCAAATGGCACTATACATCATCGCTAGTCTCAGCGCACGTGGATGGAAATGAACAAAGCTACTTTTGGGCCAAAACAGAAGTCCTGGCACGAGGCGAAACAAGAAGAGAAATTGCGTTTCTGGATACGTGGTTCTCAATAAAGGACTCAATCCACATGCATATGGACCTCGACCCAGTTTACCAGCCCCTCCGACGGAAAGAACTTAGAGAAATTACTAGACGCCGCTTGAATAGGAATAATTCGATCGACGACTTCCTCCGTGGGGAAATGGGTAAAAATCACGAGGCGCAGATTGAAGCCGTCACTTTCAAAAAGTCACCTAAACACCTATCACGGATTGACAATTGAATCAAGGAGATTACACTGTACATCTCAGCGCGCTGATGATGCCACCTCGCATGGTGGTGAAACGTTTGCAAACAAATTTCCAAGCTCGGCGATCGAATGAGCAACTGAATCATCAACTCGAACTGCCAGTTTTCTGAAACATTTTAAATAATCAAGGGCGTTCAGTGCTTCGCATTGCCCGCCGTTGGAAAGACTTGGCGTGCAGGCGAGCCTCTACAAGGCAACAGCGCTTCTTCCTTCATGTATGCCTGAGAAGGGACATTCTTCCCCGCAGTATTAGCTACAAACCGCCGATGGATTATCCACAATCGTGGGCAGCCGCTCGATAATTTGACAGGCCTGTGATACGGCTGATGATCACCGACGCTCACAATCGACTCAAGAAATATGAACGATGTTTGGATGAACATCGGTGTACCTGTCTTCAAATTATTGGACAACAACTGACAGAACAACTTGCCGCTGCAATAGAACGTCGGGCAACAAACACTAGGACAAAGAAGCATACTGCACTTCTTGATAAGTTAACAAAATTGACCTCTGCCAAAGACGGAACTACCAGTGATAGATGGATCAGAAATTTGTTTAACCGATAAATCAACGAATCCGAACAGCAAGTCCTCATCAAGGGACTAAACTATAACTTTAGAGATGCAGCAATACAGACTTTCTGGCAGCATTCGAAAGCGCCCTACAATCCAATGGAATTGATGAAGAGACCCAAAAGCAAATAAGATACACAATTGTGCCAGCTGTAATGCGCAATAGGCAATACAATTCTCTAAGCAGATACGAAAAAGAAGGCAATAAAAATCTTGAAGTCTGACGAAACGACCATCATCCTGCCGACAGACGAGGGACGGATGACTGTTATAATAGATAGAGTGGGTTACACTGAGAAAGCTTTACATCTCGTGAACGACTCAACGACCTACAAGTGCATTGACACCGATCCAACCTCGCAGCTGACAAACAAAGTGAACAGAACATTGAAACAACTTCAGGAATTGAAGTAAATCACGAAGGAGGAGAGCGAACGAATGAGGGCCTGCGACTCGAGCATCACTCAATGCTATAGACTCTTAAACGTACCCAAAGGGGTGAGGGCGATGTTGGTTTCCTGATTGCGTGTTTCTCAGCGAAGAACCCAATCAACATGCATTTCATCCTCTACCCGCTTTACCATCCCCTCTGACGTAAAGAACTTAGATATTCCCAGACCCCGCTTGAATATGAACAATTGGATCGACGCCTTCCGCCGTGGGGTAAATGTGTAGAGATCACGGTTCGCAGATCGAGGCGGTTACTTTTGAAAAGTCACCTGCACTCTGATCACGGATTGCTAATTGAGTCAACGCGATTGCACTCTGCATCTCAACGCACTAATGATGTCACCTCGCATGGTAGTGAAACTTTTGCAAACACCTTTCTAAGCTCACCTAACGGGTGGGCAACTGGGACTTTTTGACTCTTTGTAATCCCAATGTTTGCGCAACGTGTATCTTAGCTTCCGAGGTCACCGATTGTGCGATATGTATCCTCACCGGTTGCTGTTGGTCTATGTTCCTTTTTGTGTTTGATCGGACTCGCTTGAATCACGCTCTCCGGGTAGGTTGTTATTCTCTGCATACCTACCAATCTTTAGTTTTTTTGACGTATCGTTCGCCTCCGTTGCACGTATTCTGGTGCAGTTATGGGGTTTTAAGTCCATGTCATGAAAAGGCGTGATGAATAAACGTGTCGAATGTCCGAGTTCAATTAGGACTTGCTTCTTACTGAGTCGAGGACTTTTGGTGGACACATTGATGGTTAGATACTCTATCGGTTATGGTTCAGCTGCGATGTCAATGGCACCCTTATATGCGTCGTCTTATTTCTGCCATTTCACTCCTCCTTTCAATGATCGTAAGTGACTGCTCGCTATACATGGAACTATCTTTGGCTGTCACACATTTCCATTGTTTTAACTGTTATTGTTGTGGTGGCTCGCGTGAAGGCAACTGGCTTACAGGTCACAGTCCAACTGAACTGATTTTGTCCGTTTCTAAACGGAGCACTCACTGACTCGGTTCAATACTATTTGCGTTGTGGAGTTAGTGGTTTGTTGGAACGACCGATAGCTGGAGTGTTCGCTATGCTCCAATGAATTTGCCTTACCGATTGCGATTACCCGATGATTTTAGCCTTCACTGTCTTTCGGTTGTTCACATGTAGTTCAAAAGATTGTTGATGGTGATTGTATCAAATTCACATCTTCTCTCTTGTTCCTGTGGCTGTGTATTCTCATTATCCATACAGTTACATCACGCATTAAACCCAGACATTGCTATCTGTCGTGACAACTTTTTCTAGGTTATCTAACTCCATCTAAACGTGGCCGTAGAGCATTATTGGCGCTGTTGATTTGCAAGCTGTTTATTCATTCAATTGCATATTGTTTGTTATTTCAAGGTTCATTAAAGTAAGTCCTCCATTCGCGCTCACAACTGCTTCCTCCGATCTCGTTCATGTCTGTGTGTTGTTTTTCCCCAACAGACATGTACTCTAACCGTTTTAAGAATGCCGCAACCTCTTAGCATTTTCTAATAAGATAACCATTTCTAAGGTTTGTTGTTCTACAAAAGACATTTGCAGGTTAACTATTCTTATCTGTGAACGTGGTATCCCCTACGTTCAATCTACACTTGGTATGATAGCCGCTATATGCCAAAGCTAACTGCGCGTTTGGCCTGCACCATCGATTTACAAACACATGCCTGCTATTCTTTTTCGGTTTTGGCTCTGTTCAAGCCTATAAACATCCTAACATTCAGGTAAAATGAATTTTAAATTTCACTAGTGTATACAGTCTTTCGTCACCATCCTTTGCGTTCTGTTTGTTACACAGATGCTTCTACCTCGTGACAGTTGGATTTCCTTTCCCTACCTTCATATTCCTAATAGGTATCTCCTGCTGCCCTCCCTGTGTTGCTCAGAATTTTGGAAATATCCTTCAGATTCTATGTACATAGTCACTTCAGTGCCACGTGCTTTACAGGTCTGCTGACATACGTGGGTATTTTCTTTACGCTCCGCTCTACGAATCGAGCCACTTCGACCCTTCCTTTTTGGGAACATACTCCCTTTCTATGCTGCGCTTGCTCAGCGCAATTGACATTCTTCAATCCAACTTTGAAATTGTCCTCTTAAATACATTTGACCTGTACTTGCCATGCGAGTTGCTTTGTCGTCTCTTGTGAATCGGAAACTTTCTTACGCGGTCGGGATTCCTAGCGGTTATAACTCAGTACTCAAGAGCACCTTCTCTGAGACGTTTTCCTCCATGCATTGCATTTTGAACCCGCATCGTAGTTTATAGACACACTGATGAGCTTCTTTGGGAATTATATGAATGCTTTTCATACAATCTGTCCAGGCCATTAGTGTATAGTTATATTTGCATCGTTTTGGCTTCAAGGAGATTCGGTGAAACTACTCCCAGCGTGACTGGAAAAAGCAAGATGCGTATCGGAATCGCTTACTAGACGCCACCTGAAACACTTCGACAAAAACGTTGGTTTATAACCAACTCTGGTTCTTTTTTACATGATGCTTATCTATATAGCTTTAGGCGCGCATCTTTTTGTATTTCTGTTCATAGCACAAATTTCATTTAACGTCTATGCCTAGCCATTCAACCTGATTTCTCGACTATCCTGTCCTAAGCTTCCACCAATCTTGAGTTAATTTTATGTCACCACTTTGTTTGGTCCAACCGACCATTCCTGAACTGACTTAAATCCTCTGATGTTGCGTTTTTCTCGCATGCGAAAACTTGTGATAAATGCTCTACAACATATTACTTAAATAAATAGTTTATTCTCAAAGCGCACGAGACACCTAAACAGTCATAATCAGTCGAGTACAGAATTTTCGATGGGCATACAATTTCGTGCGTTTATCAACTGGTCGATACTATTATACTGATATATCTAGGAATAATGTATGGCTGTCCAGATTGAATAGGTCCGATGAATTGCCTGAAAGAATTTACCGGTGGTAAGTGAAATTGGAGGAGCAAGCTTGCATGATCAAGAATTTACATGAAGAACAACTGATTTACTCGCAATCGATCAGGCGTCGTCACAAGTTCATCGACTAAATTGGTGTCTTCATGTCTTCCCAACCACATTATCAACTCCGCCTCTCATGGGAAGATAGTAAGCCATAGTCTGTTACGATGACATTGTTTAATACACCGGTGAGTCCACTCCGTGGTTCTTGTTCTTCTTCGAAGAAAAGGCATGATCATCCTGAACGATTACCCCCTCTTACCGTTAAATTCTTTTCGACAATGCAGCCGACTTTCTTAGTGTTCTAATCTGATGCATCACTCAAGTAATCAACTGCAATACTGGTGAAAACACGGACGCATGTGTTGGGCCTCCCGATTTCTTGGCTGTTGTCCTTAGCCACTCCAAATTTCTCCTCAGCCTATCCGCATAAAGATATTTTAACAATTTCACCTTTCCGAAAGTCTGCACACTCACTGAAGGCCGCCGACTTATCACGTTGTTTAACTTGGTGTTTGAAATAGGAGTCTATTTGCGGCAGGTGTTACTTTGTTTTTCTACGTAAACAGGCAGACGCCGATCGTTCGTTATGTTGTTCTTCCGCCATAATTCTTTTTTATTTTGTGGTTCTCGTTATCCACAGAACTCGGTGACTTTGGGGTAGAGACTTCGGCTGGCTTCCCAACGTCCCGGTTGCCATTCGCAGTCTTACTGTGTCTGCCTGACGAAGGCAGATAAGTGCGAAAGTGATAGTGGAATACCGTGCTTCGAGCAGTCAACACCCAACTTTTATCTGATTCTGTCTTCTCTTTCGGTTAATCAATTTACCCCTCACGGTTTTCCGCTCTTATACGAAGTTATTGCTATTTATGAACCTCACATTTTATCTTCCCTATGTTGTCCTCTTGTTTAGGCCGAATTACTGGTCCAGTGTCCCGAGGTAACCGCCCCAACTGCATTTATTCGCCTTTTAAACCTTCTATTGAATGCCGCCATCACGCTGTTGCATCAAGCAAGAGTACATCAGCCAACTGCTAAGGGAGACTGCACGTCAGATTTTTCCGAACCCTTCCTTTTAACCGCAGCTCGTAACCTTGTGCTCAGTCTCGAGAGCCACGGATTGAATGTCATCCTTGTGCGCCTGTTGGCATCTCAACTCCTCGTACCCGCAGGGCTGGGCCATTTAGCAGGTACCGCCGTCACCACAAAACCACATGGTTCCGTCACATCCTCTCTTTGTCTCTCTCTTTTTCAACTCTTCCCATTATTGTTACGGTGGCCCAAGGAAGTGAGATCAAGTCACCTGATAGTGGAATTGAGGCTTCTTGAACTCGTGTTCATTGCGTGTCTGCAGCTGGGCGACCTTTTCTTTCCGCCCGCTCAAAATGGTGCCATTGAAACAGCCAATCATTGTGACAAGAAGAAGGTTAGCGCAATTTTTCCATACGCATATTTTTACATGCGTTGTGTACGCGGTTTCGAATAATACTCGATAGTAGCATAGCCTGGAGCTTTTCCTCTAGTATTTATTCTAGATGCCTTTCCATTCAGCTATTTCAACATTCTACCCCAACTCTCTCTAAATTCGATTTGTACTTATCTGGTTTCTTTCAATCTCCTTCGTTTTTTTAATTTTATTTACCCGAGTTAAGTCAACAAAATTCAACGCGCTTCATCATTCGGTGGTTTCACTGAACCGCGTTAGATCTCCTCAGCAAGCTACATGTGCATTGTATCTTCTTGACTCATGGGCTGTTCGCATATAGCACGCCTCGTTAGGTCAAGGCTTGGTAAAGCAGCACTACAAAATGCGAATTTTCAGCAAATTCCTTTTTCCCTCACAGCGAAACATTGAATAATGGCAAAATGAACACAAGTAGCGCTTAATGTCACCATGGTTAGACGCAGCCAAGTAACCAAGGCCAATGGACAGTCATTTTGTCCTTTCTGGAGAAGACAGCTATCCATGGCTAGCTATTAGAATTTCCCGATTTTTTCTTTATGAATTAGTTATCGCTCAGTTCGCGCATAACTTTATGGATGTATTAGTGCGTCGTGGGTCGTACGGTATCACAGTTAGCTGCTTAGTCCCGCAGGTAGGCTGTTACACAGCTTACATGCAAAAGCTGGTTCACTAATCTTAGCTGATATTTATCCAAATATCAGAGCAACATCCAGTGCTCTTCTGAATGTGGATGGTTGCCCTAATAGCTCTTATTCTGACCAGCCCCATTTGACCTGTGCAATTGCATTGTTAACAGGTGTCAACACCTATTAGCATATTAGTGTCCGTTTAATTTGACGTACATGATGTGGTGCGTTTGGTGGTCGACGGCGTTTTGCGGATCGGTCAATCAACACTTGTTTAGTTCACTACTTTATACACCCCGCTGATTAGCTTACTAGAACCTCCATTGATGAGTGAAATCAACTCTCACTTTTCCGTGTACACCCGTATCACGATCTCAACTTGTACTTTAGTAAATCTCACCTTTTCCCTTTGTATCCTCTTATCTTTGCTCAAGCATCCACCGACGAACACTAGTGGTCCCCTGGCACGCTCGTCACAGTACCCAACTGTGAATCGACCCATGTGCGTTCCGATGCTAGCTGGGCTCCACGCAATGAACTCCTTGTTAACCCACGTCGCTAACGTGGTGCGAGTCGCCCTGGCAGACCGTGCGACCAATGCTTCGGATGGTGAATCGGCTGCTACAGCGGCGGAAGAGGTTAGTAGCGCTTGTTTCAACTCTAACTTTATTTTCGTTTTCCATTGATTGAACTGTTTTTACGGTTTAACCTTCTCACTATGCATCTCATTCACTAGTTGCTGCTTGCCTCAAGGCCGCCACCAACATTAGCTGGACTGCTCGCCAGGCTAATTGGGCTGTGGAAACCTGCATTCAAAGCGCACGTTGATCCGACTGATTCTGCCCACACAGTCGTGCACAGCGAAAGTCCTGCTGAAGATGATATTTGTTCGCAGCTTTGCGATGCCGCGCTCACAGGCCTCATGCACTTTGCTTCACTTTATGCTGGTGAATATTCCCGCAGTGCTATGACACCTTCATCCGCAGCCTCTCTATCTTTGGGGCTTCTTCGGCTGCACGAAAAGGCTCAAAAGTCACAAGGACAGAGTCGTTCCTGTGCTTCCTCAAACTGGTCCGCCGAACATACTTCACCTCATCATTCGGAACCTTTACAAATAGATGGGATGGAAACACATGTGCAAGCACGTCGTCGCATTCGGCTTCTGCTGCGTGTCATTCGCCGACTTGTTTCCTCTGATCATGTTTGCCGTGCACGTCTTGCAGCTGAAGCAGCCGAAACAGGGGTGGCTAACTTGTATAGGACGCTCCACTTTCTGTTGCAGAAGACGCAATGCGGCGCTGATGAGTTAACAGCAACGTTAATTCGTGAAATCTTTGACCATATTGCTTCTTTCCAAGACCGATTTGAAGTGGACACTAATGGTATTGACGGTAGAGAGTCAAGTCCCCTCCATCATGCACAAGGAATCAGCCCCTCCACACCTACAATGGAACCAACAGCCGCCGCTTAACTTTGGTGAGTTTTACTGTTTTGTACTTGTGCAAAGCGTACGGTGAATGCGAAACTTCTGCATGGTTGTCGGTAGCGTTTTTTATCACATCGGATCTATTTATATAAGTGAAATAATTGGCATGATTTCAAATGTAGGTGGAATATGTATACCGCTACTTTAAAGACATCTTACTGAGCGTAAGCTTTTGGATCGGCTTTATTGGTGGTTATACACCCTATTGGACCTCTCATTCATGGAGTTAGCGGTACTCTTGCATTTGATCTTTTACTTTTGACTCCATTCGGTTATCTTTTGTGTGTGTACTCTTCTTAATTTGGTATTTTGCTTTTCTTTTCTCTCTGATCCTGCGCGCAGATAACGGCTGATTAATTGATACCCATTCAAGACTAATTACATCCGGACAGTTAGCCATGAAGGTGATCTGTACGGATATCAAGTAAGGTTAGGTCAACACACTACAATACGGCGACAGATCTAAGGAGTACACAGAGAAGATGAAACATATGCGCGACTTATTGGTCCTGAGACCGCTTTCAAACCAGACTGACTCCAACAGTTTGTCTGGAATAGGACGTGCTCAGTAGCCAGCAGGATTGCAGCAGCACAGGCTAGGATAAGCTCTGAGATGGGTTGGAATAACACATGATGATAAGCTCTTCAACTGCCTGTTTACGGATCGCCTCTCAATATTTTCTAAGTTTTCGGTATTGGTGATCACATTGAACACATACTACATTGAACTAAATTTCCACGCCCGTACAATTACTTCCGCACTAATTTTGTAATATTTTGATGATAAGTACATGTGTAATGAACAAAACAAATGGGATGACATTTTGTGCGCTACCCTGTATATTGATAATCCGAGTCGAATGAGCGTAGTCAATCGGGTGTTCTACATAATCCCGCCGAGCGATTTCAGGATGATTATGAGGGCGAAAATAATGCTATCACACACTAGTCTGGCTCTCATTGCGGTTGTCCGTATTTGCTGTGCCTATTTTCTGTGCCAACGAACGGCTCTTTTTTCCCTCTCTTTACTCTTGAATATGACGCACTCTGTTTTACTCAAGCATACTTGCCACACTAGCGATGTTCAGCATCTTTAAATCTTAGAGACAGATTTCAGTGCCCTGTTTACTTTGTTCCCTTGTGTGCTGACGCAATGTTAGTTAAATCGACTGGCATCGGCTCCAGCGAGTATCTGCCCAGAATACGATACCGAATCGGGACCATTGCACAGTGGCTTGGGATGCAAAGTTTATGAACTCGTTCCTGTGGGTACTCAAACCGGCCTTAGTGGTCACAGAACTCCACCTCATTCAGTGCGAGTACTGTGGGCACTGACATGGAGGAATTCTCAAAGCCGGAATGCCGCGTAATTCGCGGCTTACCTGCTTATGCTACCACAGGCCATTATTTGCGAAACCTCCTAAGAATAGACTAACTCCATTGACTTGATCCATGTTTGTTTACCAATACTCATACTGTTATGCACGATACGTGGGTCATACTACGAATCGACTATATTATAGGATTCGCGAGCACAGAGGCGAAGCGCGAATTCTTCTAACAGTTCCATCAGGTTGCACCTCCTTGAGTGCGATTGCGCAAGCTCTGAAAACTGTTTCAGATTCATCTACTCTATTCTTGAGCGCTTTTCGCACGGTGTCCGGAAATGTCTATCTATTGCTTATGCTATCTACATCCGACAACTCAACTCAGAGCTGTGCGTAAAAGACAATGTGTACGCTCCTAACTTCTAACCTGGTGTACAACTATTGTTGCGTCATCATTTGATTGGTACCCCACTTAGCTTTTGGTTGTTTGTGAGTGATGCATTTAGGTATCCTCCTCTGTACGTAGTCTACTCCCTCTAGTGATAGCGTGACTTACTGATTCGACCGTTGAATCAAATACCCTAACCACTATTCCTTTAGCATATGATCCCTACCATCTAGACGTTTGAATCTAACAAAAGTTTCACAGAAAGGCTTCCTACTCAGCTCTCAATGGGCATTTTCAAATTTTTAGTGATAAGTATCCCCTTTGATACACGTAAATACAGAAACGTTATGTTCCGGAGATTTGTGTTGCGCCAACTCACAAACTATAGGGCTGGCTTCTTAATGGCGGCACTCTGAGGTGACTTTTATCTACGCTAGAAAGGCGGTCGAGTCCTTTGTTGGTTTCTGTAGGGTTGTGTACAATTTTTAATGAATACAAGTCGACATTGATACGTGTCAACTGCGCACAAGGGGAATACGATATGTATTATGTGATAAGGCTGCATACTCTCCACCACCGCCTTATCTGTGGGCGTGAAATGTAGCCTTGCTTGGACTAATTTCAAAAGGAGGCTAACACGGGACTTATTTTCCTCGATTCTCTGGATGCCCAATGCTGGTATCGGTTTCCGCGACGTTATTTCCACGTTGCTGTCACATATCCTGTCATCCACTCGTTCGCGGAGATGCTCTTTGAAGCTGGAGCCACACAGCACATCAACCACCCGACACGCACAACTGCGCACTCGATTTTATCTTGCTTAGACCTGCTATTGACTGGCTATGATCAACGTGTGCGTGACATCCAGGTCTTGGAGCTCCTGGTAGCGACTGACCACTCGATGACCGTGGCCAGCTTGGAGCTACTGCTGTCGTGTTCTTCTCCACTGGATGGTGGACTTTAATGGCCTCATTCGAACCGCGAGCCAGATGGACTGGTAGCTGCTAAAGGATTCATCTGTCGAAATCTGTTAGACTGCTATGTAAGAGGGAGTAAATTCGTTGGGCGTCCTATTTGTCCCGTCAAGTGTCGGAAAGCTGCACCAGTCATGTCACATTGCTTCGATAAGGAATACAGCAAGCTGGCTCGACAGCGACGAAGATTATAAGGTGTATTAGGGAGTGAAATCTCCGTAACAACGCAAAAGCGCCGAAGGGCAACTTTTAGCCGCGGCAAAATCTGCTCCCAAGAAGATCTTTGCCTAAGTGGAGCTGCGTCTGATTTTTGCAGACAATGTGCCAGCGTTGAAGAGCTCAGATGGACAGCCCCTAACCTCGAGCATGGGCGGCGAACTTCGCATCCGTATTTGCAAGTGACCAGCTGTCTGTACCGAGTTCGACGGGTATCGCAACTATCGAACTAGACAAACTGGATTGCAGCATTGAGGATGTACGCAAACTTCCGACCAGTCTTGACGAAACCAAACCTGCCGGGCCAGTTGGAATCCACCCACTGACCCTCAAGTCACTATGGGCCATCATCTCGTCTTCCGTGACTGATCTTTTCAACAGGTTCATTACTAAGTGACTGGAAATCCTCAGTCGTAAAGCCAGTACTGAAAGGTGGTGACCTAAAGCAAATGAACAACTAACGGTCGATCTGCCTGGCCGCTGTTTTAGCAGACACTTGAAAAGTAGGGTCTTCTGCAGCTTTTCGAGTTCAAAAGCTTCTTGATACCCGCACTGCGTGGTTTCGTGTAAGGTCGCTGATGCGTCACCAATCTGCTGTTCACGAGGCACGAATGTTCGCAAACTCTGAACCAACGGAGGTCCATCGACTTCGTTTACATTGACTTCAGTAAGGCTTTTGACATGGTGAACTATAAAGTGCTCCTCCACAGGCTGAGAGTGTGCGGTGTTGGCGGCTCGCTGTGCCGATGGATCAGGAATTTTCTTGTTGGTCCAAAGTGGAGGGTCCGAGTCGATAGCCATCTGACTGACCGGGATCCCTCGAGCAGTGCTGTACCCCAATGCACTCTGCTGGGGCCCATTTTGTTCCTCTTCCACAGCCACAGATTTTCCGTTCGCCTTGTGCATTGTCGGTAGATTATTTGAAGGTGTGGAGAGTAACCAGTGCACTCAATGATTGGCCTGTTTCAGTGGGGCCATGACCACCTCTTCATGTGGTTTGCAGAGGTCAACCATCCTTTAAACCGAGTCAAATTGCTATTAATGCGGCTGAATAAAAGTGAGCACGGTCGGATCTACACTGTAGCCAGTCAACCGTTGCATCTTGCGCCTTTCGTGAGAGACCTCGGTGTACTCTCACGCGGCGATTTAAAGACCTTGAATAACACGAATATCGTCACATCTAGACTCACTCAGACAGCCGCCACACGCCCGGAAAAGCACTGTACGCGCGTTTCATCCTTTCGGGAATCGTCAGCAGTGCGCATTCCATCGGACCCCAGGTAAGGCTCGAACCCGCATCTCGACTATTTCCAGTCCATGGTTGAGACCACTGAGCTACGGGGGACGGCAACGACCATCGTGAATAAGTTACTAGATGTGATATAGCGCCGGTCACTATCCACTGACTTGCACGTTACTGCCGTGTGACGAAATTCTACTTATACCATTCAACTCCCCCTACTACTCTTCTCTAACATGAATAAGCTTTACCAAAACGGACTTTGTACGCTTTGATCGCTTAAGCGCAGCTTCAGCCCTTGGTCCGAAGTGATTGCCACTCGCCATTTCGTCTCATTCATGCGTCCAATGCTAGAGTGTGGTTCGCCCGCATCATGTCTTATCACCTGGGGCGAGGGCAAGAGACTAAGAGTTTACAATCTTATCCTTGAGTGCGGGTTAACCTCGTCATGACGCACCGGATTTACATGTTGGTGATTACCACATGTTGAAACCGCTGTTCCGAATGTGCACACGAGAACACCTGTACAAGCTTGTAGTGTCGGATTTGAAGCGGGTCACTCACCAACTCTGTTTTGAACGGACAGTAGTGAATATATGAAACAATTTGGCGCCGCATGTAGTCGAGGTAAAGTCGGCGTCGGAATTCAAGGAATTCCTCGACAAAATTTTTCTGACTTGAAATATCGCGTATGTTCTTTAACGTTACAAGTCATTGTACCTGAGAGATTTTAGATGCAGCTACACAGAGACATCACGTCTTGCTGTTTCCATCTACCATTTAGTATTCATTGACTAAAGCGGACACGTGAAACACCACTTAGCACTCTTCGTGTACAGTTATT